CTGGTACGACTCGAGGCCCGTTGGCGGTGATGGATCCTGACCCGTACTTGACCTGGCCCGGGTCGGGGTTCGACACAATGGCGATGTCCTCCAGCTCGTCGTCGTGCGAGGGGCGGCAGGTCGTGTAGCGCACCCCTCGGCCTCCGTCTGTGCTCGGGCGCTTGGACCCGAGACTCCACATCCGTCGACCCGACATCTTGCGACGGGTCAAGGTCAGTCGGCAACTGTTCAAGGGGATTGTTTAGAGCGAGTGTCTGGCTGACCATGCCATCATACAGGCGATCGCGACCCCGGAGCGAGTGGCAGCTCAGAGCGCATCAAAGACCCGCAGAATCGTCTGACCGATATCAGCGGAACATTTGCTGAGCGATTTGTCCGCCTCCCATGCACCACGCCTTCGAATACGAGCGATATCACACTTGGGGTTCCCAATATAAGGATTTCTGTAAAACCTCAGTTGCTTATCAAGTGGTGCTACTCCAAGTATTTTCCGCATGTCCCCATAATCTCACTCTATGATTGTTGTCTAAATCGCGAAATCATGCTCTGTCTCAGATTTTCTTCTACTTCAGCAGTGTAGATCTCAGACCAGCCGCTGCATCTGCCAGTTGCACTGTCTGACGAGGAGCTCCAAGTAACGCCCTCGGAACTTTTGATAGTTATTATGTTATTTTCCCATTGTTAGTACCCATGTCGAGGCTAAGTCCTCGCCACCATGTCGGTACAAGAGCCCTCCATGTCCTTGCATAAACAGCAGTCGAAAGCGATAATGCGACACTGAGGCATCGTTGTCGGCGCAGTGCTAGGTATGTAGTGAAGTTTTAAAGTAATGATAATCACTATGATTCCTCTGAATAACAAAAAACAAGGCAACGACAACAGATTTACATCTTAAGTAACAACGAGGTGAAACTTTAACAAAGAAGTGACCTTCATTAACAGCAAGATAAACTCTAACAGACTTTCCATCAATACTCAGTAAAGTTCACAGGACACATAAAAAGTTGCATATGGCGATTATCACCTGTATAAATGATAAAAATGCAATTGACTGTGAGAGACCAGTTACGTGTAGTCATACACAGGTAGGCATGATGCAGTTCGTGCCTAGTGCCACATGGGCTCGTTTTCCATGTCACTTTCTTTCCAGAGAGAAATGAGTGAGGACTCGGAGATTAATCGTTTCGGTTAGACGCTCGGGATATGTCGTCTGACGTGCACGTGAGCCTGCAGCGGGAGTTTCTTTTTCGAGAAGTTTTCCCTGCCGGCTCTGCTCCTTCGGAACTTCGGTCAAGCGTTTCTTATCTCGAGAAATAGCTCGATTTGCCGACTAAACAGACGAAGGAATACAAATTTCCATGTAAATGTAACCGCATTCACTGGGCTTTTCTTGTGAGTGCTTGTGTGCGATATCAGCGCAAGTGGCTCAAAGTGTCTAGATTTATCGGGCCGCCCACTCTCGCACCATATAAGCCGCCCACTTAAAAGGTTTATAGCGGGCGTGGGCGAGAGTGGTGGATGCCTCGTGGCAGGACTGACATTGCCTGATGCCGGCCCAGTCCTGTTGCAGCTTCCTGCTGCCAGTAGTGACTTCTCATCCACCTTGCTGCCCCACGCCCACCCGGCGATATTCACGGGCGTGGACGATGTACACGTTGGATGACGAGAGCAGACGCGTAAACAGTCAGCAAAAAGGGTGGGCGGGAGAGTTTTCAGGCGACACGCAGCTCAGCGTTACACAAAGGCCACGCCACAACTGAGGCCGATCCTCCACTCACACCAACAGGCAGCGACACACGCACGCACACACTAGTCAACGCACACGCAAGTGTCAACACCGTAAGAAGAGTACATGTATTATATTCTGTCTTGCTTACAGTTAACAGTATCCCTTTATATGTGCCTCGGGTTAAAACAAGAAAGAAAATTGAAAACCTTTCCGTAGAATTTCATCCGAAGGCAAAGTCATCTTTTGAAGATCGGGACGCTTGTTCGATCGATGAGCCGACGTCCAGCATCTCTGAGAGATGCTAGACTCTCATATCTCGCTCACAGCATCACCACCTTAAATATAGAGTATCCCTTTACTTAGCAGAGGTTTTCCCCATACTGGATATTGTTGACTTCCCGAGTTTATTACGGGAAAATTCGCATAAGAATATTATAAGAGAATAAGTTTCATCTAAGAGAGTTAAGTATGGCAGTAGGTACTCTTGTCCTAACATGGTTAAACAACTGCGACTTCGCGCTATATATTTACATTCGCTAGCTATGACCATTTCTTCAGTCCATTTCATTATTATCGTCAAATACATGGACGTGCGCATAGACTATATGTACAAAGTGCTCAGGCGCACACGCACACTCGTCTACATGCTCCCACACTCATACAGGGAGAATGAGAGAAATGGAGAAGGAGAGAAAGAATATATATACATAGACAAAAATGAGATAGCGAGTGAGAGAGTACATGAAAGAATACAGGAGAGAGAGAGAGAGA